TTATATAACGAATAATCATGCCTAATGTGGTTTATGTACTTTGTTAAAATTATTTGAAAGTATGAACGATAACTTTTTTCCGCTCGTCTACCATCAAAAAATGTGATATCTACACCACATGAATACCTTGTACGGAATATTAAATTATACGCATTTTTTCTTGCATTTCGTTTAAACTTATTGGATTGAATTAATTCTACTTCTTCGACAGCGTATAAACCACAATAGAATAAATGCACTCCTTAAAACTCACTATATTTGTTTACCATAGCGATACTCTGGCGCTACGTTCACGTAATATTTCGTTCATATTATAACTCAGAATGCACAAAATTTATATCATTTGAAGAATTACCGAATCGTTGCCACATGTTCTACGCAAATACTATAATGAAGCTAAAATGATGTATAAAAGAAAGTAAGCAAACAAAACAAAAAAGAAACAGTTTTTCACAGACGATTGAGTATTTCTCATTTAATTAATTCAGTTCTCACTTCGCAAGAAGGCAAAAATACATAAAAACTCAAAATATCTATACTAAAAATTACGAAGTAAATCTTAAACACTTATTTCCTGGAAAAAATTCCAGAAAGAATTAAGTATAATTTAATTGGCAATAATAAATGAATGCGTTATCTTTGTTGTTGCGAAGCTAAGTTTCTCTAGATTGGCAACAAATCCACTAGTCTCCTGTTTCAAATGTAAACATCAATGGCCGCCATCTAGAGAAGTATTAGGCTTAGCGGCACTTAAACAACTTTAAAATTGTTGACAATTCTAAAAATATTGCATAGAGATTTACTAAAGGCATAAAAACCTTAACCGGAAGATAAGAACAACATAATTCAATCATTTTTAAAGCAAAAAAATGTAGAATTTACAAACATATAAGAGTAAAGAAACTGAGATCACTGAGCCGGGTAACAGAGTGGATATATATATAAATATATGTATATACGTTTGGTGCGGCCGATTGCAACCAAAATACGAGATGCACATCTACATGTTATAGCAGTCCTATATACAAAATTTCAACGTTTTTGAGGCTACTCTTTTTTGAGTTATGCGAGATACGTATGTACGCACGTACGTACATACGTTCGTACAGACGCCACGAAAAATTCTCTTCAGAATTAATTTTAAAGCAGTTTTATAATTTTTTTGAAGGAAAAGAGTATTTTATTCTGTCCGCGCAAAAACATCGTTAAATTGCATTCGATAGCGGTCAAAATGGATATTTTCGTTGAAATATGCTGCTTGAAACTTTTCACGATTACAATACTTCCTTTATACTTCGTACAAGGAAGTAAAAATGCCCCGATATAAAGTTTTGAACTTCTCCGTAAATTTCCCACGAATTTTTACAAAATTTAATATTTATCCATAATTTGAGTAGTAGAATCGGAATATGGAAAAAATTGTCATGTTATTTTTAAAAAAACCGATTTTGTGCCAAAATACCTAAGTTAGAACAATGCTATGTATAAATGTAATATCTATCCTACTTCGCGCTTTCGAGACATGAAAAACGCAATTTGAATTTCGTCAATCGTCTCAGTAGAACGGGAGATATAGAACTGTCCCATGTACTGAACGTGTATCACTTTTTTACATGAAATACTCTTTCCGTTAATAAAATGAATATTTTTCATTTACCAGTTTTTAATTCCATTTTCTTCTTTTTTAAGAGTTCTCAACGCAGATTGAAGCGACGTTTGGGGATCCGAAAGCGGAGCTTCGAATATCACCTCTTCTAATTCCTCATTATTAAATGCATCTGACCAGTATTGAAGCACTGACTTTTTAGATCTGAAATCAGTAAACGATTTTGTTAATAGTGTTTATATAAGTTAGTTCAAGTGATAGAATCTGTACGATAAAGACAGTGATTATTTTTAATTACTTTATTTAAAAATAAACACAGTGATTATTTTTAAATATTGGCTGTAGATAATCACTGTGGTACTTCCTCTTGGCAACACCAGGGCTTAATTTCTAAAATTAGAAGTGCACAAGCCCTATGAAAGATCATCGGGAAATAGGAACAAGAATAAATAAATAAATAAAACGACTAATAATATGATAAAGTGATTGTTAATTAAAAAATTAATAATTAATTATTAAAATAATTAATGATTAGAATAATAGTATAATTAAAATTAAAGTTTAACAAAATGTAAAGAGGAAAAAAAATTAATAAGTTATTAAATAAATGGTAAATAGTTAAATAATAAAAATAAAGCATTGGACCTTGACTTATTTGGGCTTCCGGCTGGAATTATAATTTCACACAAAACTAAGAAATAGCATTATAATTTCACACAAAACTAAGAAATAGCTTTAACTGTTGAAGTTATTTCTTTTTCCCTCCGATGGAGCCAATTTTTCTTTTATTATTTATCGTCTGTCGCCGACTAGGTCACGTGACTGACGACAGAGAAAGAATGTAATAACTCTTTTAGTTTAGCTTGAGTTTGACGCTTGAAATGATCTGTTCTTGGCCGCATAGCGGTAATCAACAATTATAATAATTGTTCTTGATAAACTAATCTTGGCCCTATGATGGGGAAATTTATATTATATGTAAATTTTGTGTTTTGAATAATGTAACTAATGTACATAGGCTTTATTTAATTTCTGTGTTTCAACTGGAAGTTCTTATTTTCAAGTTGAGTCTTTACGTGAAAATGGTATATTGACTCTTGAAATACTAGTATATTCTTGATTAAATTGATGCTCTCCCAACTCCGTGAATAAAATAGAATCGTGAATCGTGATCATAACGTTCAAGATTTATACACTAACGGTCTCCGGTTGAAGTTAATCTCTATACTCCTTCAATTGACGATAGAAATAAAGACCGTTCTTTTTGCAGAGACACCAATGAAAAATGTTAAAATGGTTAAAGCATCACTACTGAGCCTATGAAAACAAAAACAAATAAGAGTCTAACATTTTCTGACCATGATCAATGAATGAATTATCAATATAATTCTAGTTGTCAAGCAAAAATGACTGGGAAACAACGAATCCGAGGGTTAGATTAGGAAAAAGTAAGAAATGACAACTTTCGTTCGCGGTCTTCGATTACCATTGTTCCAAAAAGTGTGCAGGTGTTCTTTTCCGCGGGGAGACACTAGCGTTGGAATGAAAAATTTAGGCGCTATCATAAAATCATTATACTTTATGGATAATAAGACTTTGAAATGTGGGTGGGGAGTTTTCTTCTATTAAAAGTCTCTACATCCATTCAAGTGTTTGTTTTCCAAGATAAGAGAGGCATGCATTAGAAGTGAGGATGGATTTTTAATATAATTTTATTATTAAAAATAAAACTTTCGAGATCTCTTTTCTGATGAAATTGTTGTTCAGTTACATTAAGAACTGCCAGTGTTTGAGTAATACCAGCTACAACTCAACTCTGTTTAGGTTTTATGTTTTAAAATAAGTTCTATCGTTTCTGTAAGAATAACTGCTTCTAAATTTTTTGGAAATATCTGCAATTAAAGTGTTTTTTCATATTAAATCCATAGTTATTTTCGTATCCTTTAAAATATTGGCGTCCGTGGAACAGGACTATGGATAATTTAAAACGGGAAAGAACACAATTACGTCGATATTTCACAACTTCTTTGAAAGAAGTGGACACTGTTCTAAAAGATGAAGCAGTAAGTAAGATGGATTTGATATCTGTATTTAACATATTTAATGATAAAGCTGACAGATTGTTTCAGTTAGATGAAAAACTTAAAGTAAAATGGCTAGAAATGGAAAATTTTAATGAAGATGAATTTTTTAATGATGTGGATTTAACGGAAAGCTATCGAAATCAGTGGGTTGCTATGAAAACGAAAGTGGATGTTATCAACCACTGAAAGAAAGGGCGATATTTCCAGTGTAGTAAATGAAACCAAGTGAAATTTCCGTCTTCCTAAGTTAGAATTGAAACGTTTTGATGGTAATTAAAAACTGGCTAGGATTCTGGGGACAATTTAAAAAGATTCATGCTGATGATAGCATTGATGCAGATGATAAGTTTCAGTATCTTTTACAAGCAACTGAAGAAGGTTCATCGGCTAGAGATTTAGTTTTCCACCATTTGGCGAAAACTATTACAATGCTATAGAACAGCTTAAATCTCGTTTTGCTAAAGATGAACTATTAATTCAAATTTATGTTCGTGAACTTTTAAATCTAGTTTTAACGCAAGCGAAAAGTGGCGAAAATTTTACTTTGCGGATTCTTTATGATAAATTGGAGACTCAGCTGCGAGCATTAGAGACTTTAGGGGTAACGTCTGAAAAATATGAAGCAATGTTATATCCTTTAGTAGAATCAGCTCTGCCAGAAGCTCTTATCAAGGAGTGGGAACGCACACATAACCGTGTAGAAAATAAAGACAAGATGAACATGTTAGGAAATTTATTAGAATTTCTTCGTTTGGAAGTCGAAAGTGAAGAGCGATTACAACTTGCTCGATCAGGGTTTGCGAATGACCAAGTTGAAAAATTTAAAACGAAAGAAAAAATTTCTACTGAAGCTTGTATTGTATCTAATGAAAAGCAAAGGGCTGAGAAAAATGACAAACATTGTTTATTTTGTAATAAGTCGTTTCATAATACCTCAGAATGTTTTAAGGCTGCCGAGATGTCACTGGAGGCGAAAAGGGAAACATTGAAGAAAAGGAGAGCTTGTTTCGTCTGTTTGAAACCAGGGCACAATTCTAAGATCTGCAAAGCTTATTTAAAGTGTATTATGTGCAAGAATAAACACCATAGCATTATGTGTCCAAATACATATCAATCAAAACAAGACAAACAATCTGAATCGGATTCTCAGGTTCTTTTGTCACCAAAAAAATCTCCAACGTTATTGTTAACTGAAAATCATCAGTGACAAGTCCGGAATCGTTCGTGGATTATTTGATACTGGCGCTCAGAGATCTTTCATACGAAAAGATATTGCGGAGAAACTAGGATTGAAACCTGTAGATCAAGAAATGATGAGTCATGTACTTTTTGGGGGCAGTGAAACTAAACAAGAGTCTCATAATGTCTACAATATTACATTACAAAGCTTGTGTTCAAATTTCAAGTACACTATTTCAGTTTTGGACGAAAAGAAGATATGTGGTGCAATTCCACGTGTAGAGGATCCTGATATTTATCCAATTTTGAAAAAGAAAAATATACGCTTTAAGTGATACAGGAGAATATGTGCCTGAAATAGGTTTATTAATAGGAGCAGATTATCTTGGCGCATTATTGACTGGGAGAATTGAGCCCATTGATAATAATTTGGTAGCTATTAAAACAAAACTTGGATGGACGCTTCAAGGTAAACAAAGAAACTACTCAAAATCTTTGGAGAGTATTGTATATGCTAATAATTTAGATTTGACGGAATTATGGAGCCTAGATGTCATCGGTATAAGATGTCCTGCAGAAGTAAAGTCAAGGCAGGTAACCGATGAAGAAACGGTAGATTTTTTCCGTAAAACTAAAAGAAACGAAGACAAAAGATATGAAGTATGTTTGCCATGGAAAAGTGGACGTACAGAATTAGAAACGAATAAGGAATTAGCCACTATACGGTTAATTTCAACTACCAAAAATCTCATACGATCTGGACATTTAAGAGAATACGATGATGTGTTTAATGAGAGGGTTCGGGATGGAATTATTGAAATTGTAGATAAAGACGAGAAAAGGGGACATTATTTACCACACCATCCTGTGATAAAAACTGGTGCAACAACAACAAAAATTCGTCCGGTTTTTGAAACGTCGACGAAAGATTTCATAGGAAATTCCTTGAATAATTGTTTAGAAAAGGGGCCAAATTTATTAGAACTGGTACCCAAATTGATAATGCAGTTTCGGAAAAACGCAATTCGCGTAACGTCAGACATCAAAAAGGCATTTTTACAAATCAGTTTGAATCGAAGGGATGAAAGTGCCTCTACGAATATGCCTCTAGGCCCAGCAGCTAATGCTTCAGATTCCAGTGAAGATGATGATTCATCACCCAAAATCCCAGATTTTGTTACTAGAGCTGGTCGACGTGTTAAAATTCTCAATAGACTTGATTTATAACTTTTGTTGCAATTTATAGGTATCCTACAAATTGCAAGGTGGGAGGTTGTTTGAGTAATACCAGCTACAACTCAACTCTGTTTAGGTTTTATGTTTTAAAATAAGTTCTATCGTTTCTGTAAGAATAACTGCTTCTAAATATTTTGGAAATATCTGTAATTAAAGTGTTTTTTCATATTAAATCCATAGTTATTTTAGAATCCTTTAGCCAGGTCCTTTTTACTTGGAGCTCCAGTGCGCTCCGACTACAATTATGATTTAATCCAAAAAAACTAATAAGTACCGGAGCCGGCCTCCGGTGGGCTCCGGCGCAATTTAAGCTCTACGAATAATTACGGTGCATATCTTCTGCAGCGGCTTTGGCGAGAATGTTGATTTTGCGTGTTTCTGCGTTGGTTAGGAACAAATATTTATATGGTTACTTATCTGCGCATATGCGTTTTCTCTGGCGTCGGTTTTAAAACCATAAGGATTTTTCGTTTGTGTTTGTAGTTTACGGTTTTTCGATTAGTAAATATTTCGCTAGGTATTATCGCAACCTTCCTGGCGCAGTTTGGCTATATTTAAGAAAGATAAATAACAATTAGTTATTATAAAAATATATATTACCTACATATTTTACGTTTCAACTGTGTATCTATCTATTCCAAAAGACAATAAAAAAAGCTAGTTGCCAAAGGATTTTTACTTTTGTTGTAGCAATCGCCTTGAGAAAAATTTCGAAGCATTATCCTGTTAGCGATTTTTGCCAAAAAATAATGTATTCCTGCAGAATTTCACCTCTTCTTCTTCTATTATAGGAAAATTCTACAAACGCAAATTTTAAAATCGAGTTCGAAAGCCCAGTCGGTTTAGTGGTCAGGCAAGCTGACTGCTTCAAGTATTCATCTTGTATACATTAACGGACTGGGTTACATTTGTAATTGTTCACAATCTGCCATTAGGTAAAAAAAAAAATAAATAAAAATAAAATAAATAAAAAAAATAAATAAAAAAAATTAGAAATGTGTTTACCGTTTTACAGATATGTATCAAAATATGTTTCAACTGACTTTTGACCTTGAAATCGTTATTTAAATATTTCTTGCAAGCTTAAAGTATTTTAAAAATAGTTCATCTAATAAGAATAAATATGTACTCACTTTAACTCGGAATCCATGCAACTGACTCATTTTAAATTTTAAACTTCATCTTTAAATAATTTTAATTTTTCATAATGTATTTATTATTACTGAAAGGAACAATTACCTGCGCAGCGTGAAATGATATCTTAAAATGTTTTTATCCGATCTCGAGACCATGAATTAGATTTCATGGATTTTATGTCTTAGAATTAAATATTTCCTTGCCGTTTACTTTATTTCAACCTAGTGCTGCCATCTGTTGACGCTTTTGAAAGTAGACAATACAGTAGAAAAAACTATTAAATTATAAACAGGGAGAAAAATACGCTAATGTAAACTTTAGAATTAGCCTTAGAAAATGGCGATGTAGAAATTCAATTTATTGAGTGATCTGACGAAAGTAGCCTGCTTTAAAAATTTAAAATAATAATAATAAAAAAAATAAAGAAAGAAAAATTCTGAAACTTTTAGATTTTATATTACGCCCGGAAGGGCGTGTTTTAATGTTTTGTGTGTTACCTTTATTTATTAAATATCATGTTCTTCGCATTAAACCATAAAATTCAGTTCAACAGCAATATCGCAAAGTAATTT